CTCAAGCGGAAGGTGGAGAAGCGCGCCATGTGTCTAACAGCCAGCAGCTCCATGATGTCATTATAGTGGAAGAGGGTCCCAACTACAACCTGTGCAGCTCTGGTGAATGTCATGCCTAGGAGTATTAAGGCAGTGCTAGATAACAATGGTGCTCACACAAAATATTGACACTTTGGACGCAGTTTTGACATATTCACTTAGGGTGTACTCACTTTTGTTGCAGCTATTTTGACAATAATGGCTGTATGTTGAGTTATTTTCAGAGGACAGTAAATACAAGCAGCACATTGACTACTCACAAATATATCCAAGTTTAATTTCTACAGTATAGTCCCTTGAGAAGATAATACTAAAATGTTTGCTTAAATGTGAGGGCTGTACTCACTTTTGTGAGATACTGTATATATTGAGAGACAAGACTTGGTGTGCAGAGCATTACAGCATAGCATCACATGTTAACACAATTAAAAAAAGATGTGCTCACACTTATGGATGATGCAGCCTAAACAGGAAAAGACAGAGACATTATTTGATACAAACAGTGTCTGAGCTTGGACCGGTAAGAAAATAATTCAAACCCATGGCAGAAGAAGATAAAATCGCATTTAATTACCTCAACATTAGTCACTTCATCAACAGTTATTACCCTAAGCATCACATCCTTGTATTTTAAAAAGCTGAAATCATAGTATTGTAAAACAAAGCAAAGCAGGATGTTTTGTGTCTGCACTAGTCTGATAGTGATGTTTTGAATCAATATACTGTTTTTATCTTGGAAATCTCAAAAAACTCCAATAAAGTGAGGACTTTGAGACAGGATAGCCCATGGCTGGCAGTAGGAGACTTGTTTGGCACACCTCCCGGAGACCCGTCCCGCTGAAAGCAGAGTGCGCTTCAGTGTTTACAGCCAGCGCTGAGGAAAGCCCGGGCCAACTAGAAGAGCAGGCAGGTCTGGCAAACAGGCTGCGTTCCCACGGCTTGGCCTTGAAAAAGGCATTTGTCACCATTCACAGTGAACACTCCTCTCATTACCAGCAACACAAACTGAAAAATCACTGTTGTCTGACAGCAATCCCCATACGTATTGTTACCGACTTATATTCGAAACAGTATAAAATGGGTAGAAGACGGTAAATAATGTCCAGTACCTTAGATTTTAGGTTCAAATTTCTTTATACATGTAAGAATAAGTATATTTTATATTAAATTATAAATATGAAATAATGTTTTTTCAATCAATTTTATTTATACATTTAAATGAACTCAACATACAGTATATTTGCTTAATGACTAGGTCATAAATATTATGGAGGACCAGCTCTACCATATTTAAAAATAAATACAGAAATAAATAAATGCTCAATAAATAAATAAGCATACAATTAATTGCCCCCAAAAATACAATAAACAAAAAAATGTAGGTAGAAATTAAATTATACAGTGAGACATAAATGTATATAATATATATATCTCTTTTAATTAGCTTCTTTATTTATTCATCTTTGTAGTAATTACCTTATTTACTTATTGTCTGTTATAATCTTCAACTTTATTTATTAATTACTTATTTTTTTTAAGTATTTATTTATGTGCATGTTATAATATTTTTGTCTGTTTTATTCTTCCTTTGTTTTTTTTTACCCTATTTATTTCTTCAATGCTATTTATTTCTGCCTGTCGTTTTTACATTTCTGCCTCATTATGCAAATGAGGAGGGGCTGTGTCTTAAGGGGTCAACTTCTGCCCATTGGTTGGTTAGCATTTTACTGCATCGGTCGAATCTACATGGCTTTTCCCCGCCATAAAGCATTGATTAGTGGCAGTAATGCAACTCATTGGATGCCAGCTGCCGTAAAAATCCAAAGAAGAAGAAGAAGAAGCATTGTTTAGTAATGTCAAACTCAGCAGGCAGACGTTCAGCGTCCGACCTCTTAAGGGAAGCTGCTAATAGACTGGAAGAATTAGAACGCTGTAAGTTTGAGATCTGAAATGTTTTTCTGTGGTCCATTTAACAGTTGCTAAATGCCTCAGCTCACTGACAACTTCATCGTAGGTAGCCATCTTTGTTGTGACTGTGGCCGGTGGCATGTAGATTCGACCGATGCAGTAAAATGCTAACCAACCAATGGGCAGAAGTTGACCCCCTAAGACAGCCCCTCCTCATTTGCATAATGAGGCAGAAATGCATACAGAAATGTAAAAACGACAGGCAGAAATAAATAGGATTGAAGAAATAAATAGGGTAAAAAAAAAATACAAAGGAAGAATAAAACAGACAAAAATATTATAACATGCACATAAATAATTAAGGTAATTATTACATAGGTGAATAAATAAAGAAGCTTATTAAGAGATATATACATTCATGTCTCACTGTATAATTTAATTTCTACCTACATTTCTTTGTTTATTGTATTTTTTGGGGCAATTAATTGTATGCTTATTTATTTATTGAGCATTTATTTATTTCTGTATTTATTTTTAAATATGGTAGAGCTGGTCCTCCATAAAATATAGCCTGCATAATATAAGTATTAAAAAGATTTTGTTTACATTGTAATAGTTTTAATAGTAGTCATTCCTTGAAAGTCCATGAAATACCCATATCCTACAGAGATTGTAAACAATGTAGATATGGTAAAAATCTCATTCCTTAGGACATAACAGGTGTTTGTTGTGGTAAACAAGATTTGAAGTGTTTTTATTGCTGATGCAAACTAACAATCACAAGTGTCTGTTATTATCATGTACAATGTGAAAATATAGGGTTGATATTTCACAAGTGTTGACAAATAAACATCTGTATCCACTTTCACATTTTTCATGCTTCAACACTAATAACAAGACGCTTAAAAGATTTCCTCTTCCCTTCAGCACAACACTTATAGTTGTAAAACTGCATCAATATTGGTTATATATACTGAAAAAAACAGGGAAAGAGAAAACAAAAAATGTAAAGAATGCAAATGAATTAGGGCTGCACGATATATAGAAATATCGCAATATGCATATGGGATATCTGAATGATTTTAATAGGGTACTTCAAAAAGTAGCTTAAAGTCAATTTTAGGTCATGACTGAAGCACACCCGAAGCGCTCGCACAGAAATCCGCCTCTCGGACAGCGTGTGATGGCAAATTCAGTTCTCTTTTGCGGCTTATTGCAGTTGAATGGTCACAGTTATGTCATAATGCCTGTCTGGGCGAGTATTCATGCAAACACAGTCTGTATTAAGTGAATGTAAACAAATGGGAAAGAAATCCGATGTGTGTCAATAGGATCCGTGCATTAGGTCTTAAAGTGACAGGAGCCTAATAGAGTACTGTCTGTCAAACAACAAAAGAAAAAAAGAAAATAAATCACTTACTGCTCTTAAATTAATACATTTTATAGCTTTAATATGAATCAGTGTATATTTAATTCATTTGAAGACTGCAGTGTTTTACTTTTACATTTGATTATTCATTTTCTGTATTGTTTCTTACTAATGTAATAATCTAATGTCTATCTAATGTCGGCCAACCTGAAAATTTTAAAGCAGTGTTTATTTAATTTGTATCTTTGTTTTATTGTATTTGTCCTATTATTTGTAATTTTGCAAACCCCTTTGTTCTTATTTTTAATAACTAAGATAATTTAAAAAAACAAAAAAATCGCCCACCCCTAGTTTAGTTATGTTTTCGTTTACCTGGATGTTCTTGATGTTAAGGATTCAAGTTGATATAACTATACATTACCAATTTGCTTTTTTTGTTTGTTTGATGTTAAAATGACATTTTTAATTTGTGAAATTACTTTTTATGTAATGCTAAAATGCTGCTGTTCACTTTCAGAAGTTGTAGTGATGCTTTCTTTTCACGGAAAGAACATGAAACATTTATTGGTTATATAATTTTAAGGTTTTTAAATATATTTAAATATATAAATCAAAGTTGATTTTACACACTTAAAGCAGTTTTGTATCGCATATCGAAAGTATTTAACAATTTATTGCATTTTACTTCAATATCGTGCAGCCCTTTTAAGAAAACCGTTTTGTGTTACTATTTCCATCTGTTCTCCTTTTCACTATGCCTGCACAGGATATGATCAAGACAAGTAACAGCAAACAGACATCTTGTTGCCATTGATTATTTATAACTACTTTAAGTAAATCAAAATATGTTCAATGTGGTGTTTGAATGTGCCTACCTCAAAATACATGCGCTACAAAATATATACAATGCAAAAAGCAGTTAGGTGAACAATTTATTTGGAATCTTCTGTAATATTTCAGAACATCTAGGTGTGGTTCATAAGTAGAAATCTGTAGTAGAAAATAAACTGGATTCTCTGACTGTAAGTTTTGAGAAATGTCATAAGCCAAAAAATGGTAGGCAGAAATGTCCAAAATGAACTCATGTTATCCTGAGTGTGCTGTGCTTCCTGTTTACATCACATAAAAAAAAAAAAAAAAAAAAATGTAGGTGCCTGCCTGCTCAGTTGTCTACGACTAACGGTTTCCCCCCAAATGCACATTCTGTTCAGCATTGGCCCAAAATATCTTGGGGAGTGGGGGGAACAAATCAGATGGGATATCCAATTAGAGCATTGTGACAAGCTACTCCCACACCTATCTCAAAACATGAGCCAGCTACTCCTTCGTCCTGCCATTTTAAGCAGGGGTGACTTTTAAGATAACATAATTAAGATAATAACATCAAACCTTGTAAAAACAAATTTCAGAATAAGAATAATATATAGTTCTTTTTAAGAAATGATGAAAATACCAACAAGACGAGATCGAAAGGCACAACAGTGATGACAGCGGCTCTGTAAGGTCTGTAAACATCTAAGAATGGCTAAGAGGGTCTCGAGTGTTTAAAAGGTGGCAGAGAGGAGCCACACGAGCCCCTCAAGTCATATTAATATTTCATTCGTCTGTGTGAAGAACACTGTTTAAAATATGACATTAGTAGCAGGATCAAAGATATTCCATGTTCTCTGTGACTATGTCCTGCGTGTCTCTGTCCTCCTCAGCAGTTTCACATAGGAAAACACAGTCCAGACTAGACGTTTATTATCGCCATCTCACTAAATACTTTCCCCAAAAAAGTCATTCAGTTCCTTCTAATGGACACTCATTGTATGGGGATAAATTTCATCAATTTTAGACTCTTGGTTTGTCGTATATTGCTAGGGGCTGGCTAACCCTCACCAGGCTCTTTGCCGGGCAAGGTAAAGCTCTTTCAGTCCCATTGAACTGTGGTTTATTTAGGCATCGTCATACTTCTGAAGCGCCTCCTCTAGCTTGCCTGTGATCTTCTGGAAGAAGCTGATCTGCTGCTGGAGGTAATGCTGCATCTGGGACTTGAAGTCCCGCACTCGAGTCTGGTGGAAGTGCTGGATCTCAGCCAGAGTGGCGAAAGAGATGATGTTGCAGCGTTCCCTGATGCCGTCTGCCTGCAGGCTTTCCATCTTCCCTTCCTCTACGTGCTTCTGGCTTTCCTTCACCTTCGTCAGAGCACCTGTGGAGAAAGCAGAACCAGGATGAGACTAAATATTGACTCAGATTCAGTCAAGAGAGAAGTTATGACGAATAGCTCAACAGGTTACACTCGTCTGTTCTTCTGCATGAATGTGGCTGTTGTAAAAACATGTTTTGAAAAGAGCAATATGGCATGACCAGGATGTCACTTTTATGATATAATTATCAGGCTACTATTTTGGCGAATGTATGGGTTTTCAAGGTGTGGGGAGGTGCAAGAGCACGTCAAAGGAGGTGAGGGGTAAATATACGTTAGAGCGCTAATGAAACATAAGTGAATGAGAAAATAAAGAGCGGAATGGACTTCATAAGTTATTAAAAGCACAACAAACCATGCAAGAAAACTGAATCCGGTACTGGTATGCCAACGCCAGGTCTGAAAGCCGCCTCAGTGTGTGAGAACTCAAATGAAGTTCTCTTGTGTGGCTTATTGCATTTGAAATGTCTGCCTTGGTGAGTATTCACGTAAACAGTCTGTTGAGACAAAATCAAACGTATAAGTATAAAATGTATGTGTCAGTATACTGGATCTGTGCATACCGTCTAATTAAAGTGACAGCAGCATATTGAAGACTATGCAGGTTTTATATATATATATATATATATATATATATTATGACTATTTAATTTTTGTTGTATTTCTTACTTGAACAGACCTACATGAAAAACTTAAACGCAATATTTAACTTTGTTCTATTGTGTTTATTTGCCCTATTGCTTGTAATTTGCTGCTTATTTCAATACAGATTGTTTACTTTCTACCTGAATTTGGGCTATGCCTTTGCTTTAGACCAGTGCTTCTCAAACCTGTCCTGGGGACCCCCACCAAAGCACATTTTGGATGTCTCCCTCATCAGACACACCCAATTCAAGTCTTGTAGTCTGTACTAATGAGCTGACGAGATGAATCAGGTGTGTTAGATGAGGGAGACAGTGCAGTGGTGGGGGTCCCCAGGACAGGTTTGAGAAGCACTTCTTTAGACCAGTAATTCCCAATTCCAGTCCAAATGAAAGTGAACAACTGAATCCCTTCACGAAGGGCCCTTCCAAAAGTCCATTAGAGACTTCAAGGAAGTAATTTAATAGTTTGTGGTCATGTGACCCAGAGTGACGAATCCTTGTGATTTTTTTTAAGCTAGTTCACGAGTTCACACTTACATACAATTAAAGGGAATAAAGTATAATGCGTATTTGGCGTGCTGTCCGGGGGGAGGGCTCCGAGCTCGGAATTCGGCCCGAACCCAGAGTACTCCCCCCTATATGTAAAGTGGTTTAGGACTAGAAGAGTGGAGAAGGGGTGGTGGAGGGACGCTGCTAAACTGTCAGAGAAATGAGGTGAGACTGCGGAGTCTATATATACGTTTTAATCATGATTGCTGAGTGCTCTCCACCCGTGTTAATTATCTGAACGTGCTTCTCCCGAACTTTGTTAATAAAACATCATATATGGTGGGAGAGTTGGAGTTAACGATTCAGACCATCAGCTTTTTAGCAGAGAGCGCCGTGACCTGGGGTGCGTCCCGGCTGACAGGGTCCCTACACAGTGTTCAATGCTGCCTACTCCCTGAGAATGGGATATCTGTTGAAGTTCACTTCACTACACCCACCCTGCAATGAGCATATTAAAAGAGTTTAAGGTTTGATGCCATAATCTACTTTTATAAATTGCAATGTTTAATATAAAATAAATGTAATTTGGTAACATGTCTTTTTATCTTATTTAACCTGTAATAATGATAGTTGACTTGTTACCGTTGTCAGCCTGCTTCGGAACTGGAATCTCCCTCTAAAATCCCCTTTTAAGTCCACTTCGCAGTGCACATATTGTCGAATGGAACCCACCCCTCAACTGAGCATGCCAGATAAGAGAGACATACAAAATGTGCAGAGCGGGGAGGCGCGAGGACTGGAAATGGGAACCCCTGCTTTAGACTATAGCCATGTAGAAGGCCATCAAGCTCCGATCAAATACAAAATAAAATTGATTTCACTACAGCTGATGCTTCTGAATGTTTGTTTGAAATGAATGTTGATTAGGCTATCTTTTGTTCTGGAGCTTTTGTCTACAAGAGGAAGTAAAGTGAATGAGTAATGAGATATGTGGCAGCTGCGTGCAGCTCTGCCATTGTTGCAAAAGTCTTGCAAGCTCATAGAACATGGAAGTTAAAATGCAGTAAAATCACATGTTTTCCTCTGTAGTCTGTACGGTTGTGCCAGATTGGTAAAATGTTTGCTTTATCAGCGCCAGCGATAGACAGGGCTTCTTTTATCTTAGTGGAAATGACAGGAGAAAAAAAGGTCACATCATCATAAAAAAATTATCATGAAATATTGAAAGAGAGATATGATACAAGAGATGTAAAAACAAGCTCAGCTATGCAGATTGCCGATTTCATTCCAAAAATATTTGACAGCAGAATGCCATGATTGTAGCCTGGATGCCAGCCCGAACCCCGCCCACAACATTTTTTGATCGGGAAGTTCGGTCTGGACTCGCTCCATTGAGGAGTAATTATGATCGGTTCAGAAATCGTCGGGCCAATCAAATTGCCAGGGCGGGCTTTATACGATGATGGACAGATGATCTGCAGGGACGTAATCCTCACGTTATCAAAGAGCGCTTGGGTTGAACTGGTTTCCCTCAGAGATGACTGCCGCTGGAGAACTGAGATGTAGAGATTCCGCTATCGCGTCCGTTATAAAAGAAATCGACAGCGCATTCATTTTAAAAGACGAACATAGAACTGCAATCTAGGCATTTGTCGATCGGAAAGATGTGTTTGCCGTCCTTCCTATGGGATTCGGCAAAAGTTTGATTTATCAGCTGGCTCCGATGGTAACTAAGAAGATGGGACGCAATGAAAACCCTGTCGTTGTGGTTTCTCCTTTGGTCGCACTCATAGAGGGCCAAGTAAAAGAAGCAACACTCGTTATTTTACTTCTTCCAGCGTGCGTGCATTTGAGTTCTGTAGTTGACAACTGTGCTATGCAAAGTAGTTGACTTACTGCGTTGCTCTCATTGGTTGTAGGTCTATCCAATTGAGTGCAGTTTTTTTTTTCCTGGTTCGGTTAAGACACGCCTCATAATCAAAGCCCTATGAAGCAGTATCAGACTCACATTCTGACTAGAATATGAGTATGACGAAGTCAGGCTACCATGATTGACCAATCAACTGACTATAATAAAACTTTCAACAATGTCAGTGAACGTCAAAGACATTGCTTTCCCCAGCAACCTGATTCATATTACAATGACAGGAAACAAGAATGAACTCTATTAACCCTCAGACGGTCTTCGGTCATTTATGACCGGAAAATTTTCTGTTTTGAATTTCTAAAAATCACAGCTTCATCGGAATGTTATGAAACTTGGTGACTTTTATGGCATTAGGTATGTGAATACAAAAAAAAATTGAGGTCATGATCCGAGCATGCTAAGTGGTCGTAAAAAAAATAGTCACACTTGTGGTCTTCGGTAAAAAATGACCGACCCATAGGAAATGAATGGGAAACTTACAAAAACAAATTTTTTTTTAAGACCACTTAGCATGCTCGGATCATGACCTCAATTTTTTTTTTGTATTCACATACCTAATGCCATAAAAGTCACCAAGTTTCATAACATTCCGATGAAGCTGTGATTTTTAGAAATTCAAAACAGAAAATTTTCCGGTCATAAATGACCGAAGACCGTATGAGGGTTAATAGAGTACAATCTACAAATCGGCCACGATTCTAAAAAAAAGTACACCGCAGTAAAGGGGTGATACTCTATAACATCAAGAGTGCAAAAAATTCACACCCACCCACACACACACACATACAAACACACTTTTATACACATACACACCAATAAATTCAGATTACAAAAAATCTGTTTGAATTTTTAAAAATCACAGCTTCATCGGAATGTTACGAAACTTGGTGACTTTTCTGCCATTAGATATGTGAACACACAAAAAAATTTAGTTCATGATCCGAGCATGCTAAGTGGTCGTAAAAAAAATAGTAACGATATTGGTCTTCGGTCAAAAATGACCCCCATAGGAAATGAATGGGAAATTGACAAAAACACAAAAATTATCTACAAATCGGCCACGATGAAGAAAGAAGTGCTCAGCAATGAAGGGGTGAAACTCTAAAACATCAAGAGTGAAAAACATAACATAATTAATAATCATAATTATATATATATATATATATATATATATATATATATATATATATATATATATATATATATATATATATATATATATAATTAATATAATAATTATTAAAATTATTAAAATAATCATTAATAAAATGTTATAAACCTTGGCAAAAAGTATTATTTGAGAATTTCTAAAAAAATACATTCAATCCACATCTTAAAAGTAAGTACCGTATTTTCCGCACTATAAGGCGCACTTAAAAGCCTTTAATTTTCTCAAAAAACGTCCGTGCGCCTTATAATGCGGAGCACCTTATATATGGATGGTGAACACACGTTCACCAAGACGGGGAGACAGCGCCGGCCGACTTACGCCACTATCTGCCAATGAATCGTGGATGCCTGGGCTGATATATCAGTCTCAACTGTGATCCGAGCTTTCACGAAGGCAGGAATAATCTCTTTATTCAGCCGGCTCACATACCCGTATTTACTTCCTGTTTTCGGCCGAAGTCCACAGTAGTTGATTGTCGAGTTCGCGCTGCGCGCGATCAAACCTCCTCCGTGTGTTCAACATCTGATTCGGATGAACTATCCATTTGAGCTGATATTCTCAGAACACCACACAGCACCGTCATCGGCTGACAGTCTGAGTCTCCACTGTTGCTTAGTTACCAATGATCGCGCGCGCGCACTCTACAATCGCCTACTGTGGACTTCGACCGAAAACAGGAAGAAAATACGGGTATGTGAGCTGGCTGAATAAACATCATTTTTATTCATATCTTTCACATTTACTGGAGTCAGATTCACCGTGTTCACTCGCA